AGGAGAGCAGGCTGTTGGATGCAGGGATGTTGGATGCCCAGACAGCTTGCAGTGGGGCTGTTTAATGCAAAACAAGATCAACTTTGCATCCTCCACCAGAAGCAACCTGCACACACACAGGGAATTGCCTGCCCTGGCTGGGTGAGTCCTCTGCAGCCTGCTCTGTCCTGGGCCAGGACATTCAGGTGAAAGAACGATCTCCAAAAGCCCATCCACGCTTTCAGACGCATGGAAGAGCTCCCCACAAAGCTCCATGGCCTAGTTACACCTTGCCAGAGCACAAGATGGTGCCGACCCACAGTGCCTTTTGTCCTTCCCAAGCAGCACAGCAAGATGTCACTGCACAAGAAAGAACCGTGGATGTCACTGCACAAGAAATCACCTCCTGTTACAGAAACATTCAGCGAGACACAGCAGGACAATGAGTGATGTCAGCTGCCCTGAACCATAAACATTTTGAACTATTTTGGTACAATGGAAAGTTGTGGGAGGGAGAAGGAACAAGCACAGGATAAAAATAGCTGACATGGTTTTGCCTACAAGCCCCTTCCCAGCACACTGCCTTCTCCATTCCTTCGCTTCTCCCTTCCCTCCTCCAATTTGTGCATTAATCAGATTGGGTAGTGTTAATTACTTATAAATACCGTACATTGGACTAAATTGTTGAAAACAGTTTCAACCTAAAGTAGGATATAAGTGGATTTATTTTTATATTTGTTTTAATATTTGCTTCAGCCTTGTTGATAGGCACGTGCCACACATTTGGCTGTGTGAGCCGAGGCAGCCCCAGCAAACGCGCTCTGCTTCTACCCACCTGTATCCTGTTTCATGAACACGTTTAGGATGACTGCACATCACTGACAAACAAAAGCCAATGTCAAAATTAAGCTGTTTTCTTTCTGATTTTGCTATGAATTAAGGAACATAAGGGTTATTATTATTTTTTTTTTAATTTCAAAGCATTGGGTGTAAGAATATCTAAGTGCCATCCAAAATGCCAACACAAGCTTGTCAATTCATCTACGATAGAATCATTTATCATGCTATCACAAGACAAATTGCTGCATTCTTGAGAAGTGACTGTAAGAATTCCACTTCATTAGTGCTGCCCACAGTAAGTATGCCTGCATAGAAAGAGCTTTGTTTTTTAGTTTGGTTTCCAAATCAATCCCTGCACATCACTGTAAGACAGAAGGCGCTCTCAGGAGAAAGGAGTTATCTATTCCCACACTCATCCTGGACTACGTGCCCATACAAAAGGTACCATACTTCATCAGAAGCCATTAGACATTCTGTAGCCTGCATCACTAATCTTCTGCAACACCACATCCCCAGTTCTTCATCAACTATCCCAGAGGGACCAGGTTGCACTGGAGCTGGGAAGGATAAGCACTGACAATGAAGACGCGTGGTATTTCCTTCATCCACGCAGGACTTGCGGTGCTACAGCACAGCAAATGCTGCAGTTCTGAGCTGCACGTGAATCAGGACTCTGCCTCTGACACAGGCAGTGCAAACCACGTCCTCATGTCCCCACCCACAGCTCTGAGCAGCAGCTGCCAGATCACACGGCCAGCTCAGTTACCTGTGGGGACCAAGAAAGAGAGATGTCTCCTGCAGCTCAGCTTTTCCTTCCATTTCTGCTGTTCAAAGCCAGTAAACAGAACACTTCTACATGGTCATCGGCAGTTTTTAAAAGTAGAACAATATCCAAGGTTTCTACATAGCTCTTTTTTTCTCACCCCCCCCCATTTCTCTCCCTAGAGCCCCCAACTTGTAGGAAAAAACACACACAAAAGCTGCACCCCTGCACCCCTTTTGGTGTTTTGTTCCTTCCCCCCTTTCCAACCACTGGCTAAAAAAATTACACACAGTTCATTACAGGAGAGGGGAAAAAATGAGATCAACGTATTTCAAAAAACATCTGAATTAAAATGAAAGCCCTAATTAAGCACTGGGCTAAGGAACACGCAACTTCATCTCAGCTGTGCTGTGATTAATTTAAAAGGGGAGATGGCATTTTTCCAATGGTACTTTAATTTTTTTATTTTTAAATCGTTAGAAGCATGGAGTCTTGGTTCCACCCCTGAAATGTTAAACACAGTTTGCTAGCCTATATGATGAAAGATATTTGCATCTTCTAAGTTCTTCATAGTTGAATCACTAATAATTTACAAAATAACAAACCTAACAGTCGCTTTCATAAAAAATTAATGAGAAAGGCAGAGAGCACATCTGCTGCTATTGTTACATCTTTTGCCCTTTCTGGTTCAGTTGTCTTTCCCCACACTCTTTTCAACACTTCTCAGGTGTTCACATTGGCTGCTGCTTCTCGTGAATGAATACCCTCTGTTTCTCTCCCAGCACCCATTTTTCCTTTGGCAGCTCTTACTCCTAGTGTGACGCAGGCACTACTTGGCAGCAGCAATCAGGAGGACCACAGCCTGCATCACCTAGCAGCGAGAACAGGAATACTGAAAGCTCCCAGAGAGCACGTTACTTACAGGTGCCCACAGCTCACTTAACTGCTGTACATAGGGCTCGCTGCAGAGGAAAGCTGCACTGCTTCAGTGTCTTACAGGAGAACTGAGCCTTCTAATTACCAACCAGTAAATCCTCAGAGGGACAGAAGCAGGGAAGTCAGAGAGGAGCTGGGACTCTGTCCCTTCTCAGGTGTGATGTGCTACAAGCGCTCGGTGGCCTGCAGAGGGATGGTGCGGTGTGTGGGAGAGGTGACAGTGATGGTTCCCAGGACTAAAGCAGAGTAGGCTGTTCGTAACACCATGCTACACACAAGCAAGAAGTCTCTGATCTCACCCCCATATCACAATAAGGCCAGAGCAACACAAGAAAAGTGGCTTCACACACAAAACTTTGCATTGCTTCATCTTCTGCACAGGCTACAGGAAACCCAGCAAGCAGCGTTTCAGACGGGTGGGCTCAGAAGTGGTATTTGATTGCCCTGCACTTTGAAACAGATGGCCAGCCATTCCAACAAGCGTAGGACTCATCTTACTTAACTCCATACACCTACAACATCTACGCCAACAAGAGTGCCAGGCCTCTTTACCAGGCTGGCAATGCATCTCTGTATTCGGTCACGTTCAAGCATCCTGTTCCTTTCCACCAGCAATAACGTGCACAAAGCTCAGCCTCAGATGCCTACATTCAAGAAATCCCTCCACAACTGGCACCAACAAGCCACCATTTTTAATCTAAACCAGGTCCCTCTTTTACTAATGTGGGGCTCCCACTTCAAGCACCTGATTTTTGCAGTAAGGACACTTTGGTGACTTGCTGTTTACGTGGGCTCCTGGCCAGTTACTGGACTCCTCTGAGGTCTTAGCAGAATACAAGTTTGTATTTTTACAGAACACAAACTGAAAAGCAAAATTAAATAACACGCATAAGGTCACACGTATACGCAAGAATAGAACCAAGAGAAGCAGTCTGGCATCTAAAGAAAGATTTGTTACTTCACACTTCTAAACTCAAACAGGAGATAACTCGGAAGGAAAAGACATATTAAAGCACGCAAAAGCCCCACAAAACACGAATCACCTCAATCTGGTCACAGTCACAGCAAGGCGTTGTTAATTCGAGTCCAAAATATTTCAGGTGCAACAGCAGCTTTTTCCTGCTTCTTTCGCCATAGTTTTATAGCGTGTGCAGTAAAGAAACATCAAGAAGAAAAAGCAAATAAAGTTACGTGCACCTTCTGCACGTAGTCCAGTTGTAGGAGAAAGGAAGAGCTTTTGTTATGCTTTATGAAAAAGTGCTCACTGAACACACAGAAATCTGCCCCGCCGCTCAAGTCACAGGAAGTTACCTACGCTTTACGATAGACTGCCAGAGATGCCGAACAAAAGGCTTGGCACTACTTCCCTGCAGAGGCACCCATCTATTTACATCTGGGACTGCTGCCAACTGAGCAGCTCCCAAGAACTTCAAAAGGCTCCCGGCATGAATAGCAAGCTTCTGGCCAAGGGATTTTATGATATGACCAGCTGCGTAGCACCATATTAAGTGGTGTTAACCCCCCCAAAAATACCAAGAATTGATGTTAACCTTGTTAAACGCTGAGAAAGAAACCCGAGTTCCCTAAACTAACGCTTTCTACAGGAAGGGTTTTTTTTATTTTTTTATTTTATTGCAGAAAAAGTGTGAGTGTAACACAGCACCTTCTTGAAAAGCAGCTCTGAGCGGTTCTTATCGAGCTGCCTGCGCCAGTGAACGTGCCTCATTTACACGGCAGCTCCATCCCAGCCTTAATAAACGGCTCCCCAAACCCGTCCGGGGAGAGAAGGCATGAGTCAGAGGAAGAGAGGGATAATGTTTCTGTTGACAAACATTTAACAATTGGCAACCAGTAGTAGGAACGGGGACAAATGAAAGCTTGCCAAATAAAGTTACGCTGGAGGAACAAGGCTCCTTTTTGGAGCAGCGCTGCCATTCTTCATCCAGCCGAGAAAATACCCAACCGCATTTAGCCAAAATAAAAAGCTGCAGTTGTTGAAGAGCAAGGCTACTAATCCTAATGTTTGCGGTGACGTTTTTCCCTGCAAACCAGGACGGGTTTGCACTCCTCCGAATCATATTACTGCGCTCTGTCCTCTGCCAAAGAGTCTGGTTTTGGTCTCGGCAGTCGCACACGTCTCACTGTTCACAAAACTCCCGAGCCGCATGAGCAATTTTTTCCCCTCGTCTTACACGACATTCCTGCACCAGACATGCCAAAGCACGTGCGGAGCCTCGCTCAGACGCCTTAGCCGGGAGAACCAGGTCCTTCGCCGCCTGCTTGCGGCCCTCGGGGAGGAGCGGCAGCCCCGGCGCGCGGCGCTACAGGCGGACACGCGTCTCCACGCGAGCGGCTACCGCCACTCCAACTTCCAGCCCGGCCGCCTCGCAGGACCCGGCGGAGCGGCACCTTGACCCCACAACGCGCGGCGCACGCCTCCCGCCGCCTTTCCTCCTCCCCGCGGCCGCCGAGCCCTCCTTACCGCAGCACCTTGCCCACCGCCTGCAGCACCATCTTGCAGCTCAGTCCGGCCTTGGGACTCTGCGCGAGGACGGGCCGTTCGGCGGGCAGGCTGCACTGATCCCCGACCATGGTCCGGCGGAGCGGGGCGCCGCGCGGCACGGCTCGGCACGCCGCGGCCTCTCGCCGCTCACCCCGGCCGCGCCGCCCGCCCCGCCCGCCCCCGCCAATGGGCGGCTGCTCCGCCCGACCCGCCCCGCTCCGCCTCCCCAGCCGCTGCCTCGGCCCGGAGGTCCGCGGTGACGCCCCAGCGGCAGTCGTACGCTTGCGGCGAGGTGGTGGAGTCAGCGACCCTGGAGGTGTTCAAGGAACATTTGGATTTTGTGGTTTTGTGAGAACTATTGGTGATTGGTAGATGGTTGGACTGGATGAGCTTGTAGGTCTTTTCCAACCCTGGTCATTCTGTGACCTTGGAGGTCATCACCATCCCTCTCCCCAGCCATGAGGAGGAAAATCACTGCCTCATAGCTATCTCTTGTCCAAGGAGACCAGTAAGGAAAGAGAACTGCATGGAGAGACAAGCAGGATTCCATTGCTGACTGGGAAATATCTGAAGTTGTCCAGCCAAGTTTACGGCGCACCGTGGGCTTTGCCACTACATACACCTGCAACACCAAATGCCCTGGAACAGTTCTGTTCCTTTGCTGAACTGGCACCACCTGTAAGCAGAAGGCCAACAGATGCCTCCAATTAAGTGCAGCGCACACAATGCCATTACTACCATCAGCAGCCCAGCATCACCTCTGCTTGCTCAGCTCAGCCAGGAGCACAGCTGCTGCTTGCACAAGGCCAAACTACAGCCACATGATGCAACTTGGAGAAATAGGTGCTACTCTGTCCCAAAGCACCAACACAGGCAGCAGTATTTTGCTGCCTTTCAGTCACACGTGCAGGTCAAGTGTCTGTGCCCCCATGAAGGAGGTATTTTCATTCCCACTGCCCAAGTGGCCTATCTAAGGCAGGGTTTTAATGGCTTCACTGATAAGCACAGGAAGCCTGAAGCTCAGAGAACAAAGCTCAGCTTTCCACTCCACGATCCTGAGCTTCACAGAATCACAGAACGGCCATGATTGGAAGGAACCTCAAAGATCATGAATCTCCAACCCCCCTACCACAGGCAGGGCCACCAACCTCCCCATTTAATACTAGACCAGGCTGCCCAGGGCCCCATCCAATCTGGCCTTGGACACCTGTAGGGACAGGGCATCCACAACCTCTCTGGGCAGCCTGTTCCAGCACCTCACCACTCTCTGTAAAGAATTTTCCCCTAACATCCAACCTTAATCTTCCCTCCCTCAACTTCAAACCATTTCCCCTTGTCCTGCAGTTATCAACCCTTTCAAAGAGTTGATTCCCCTCCTGTTTGTAGGCCCCCTTTAGGTACTGAAAGGCTGCAGTGAGGTCACCCCACAGCCTTCTTTTCTCCAGGCTGAACAAGCCCAGCTCCCTCAGCCTGTCTTCACAGGGGAGGTGCTCCAGTCCCCAATGTCTTCGTGGCCCTCCTGTGGACCCTCTCCAACAGCTCTCAAGGAAGACAGAAGATTATCCAACCTTTGAAAAATCCAGTGCCCACCCAATCTTCTCCCACAGTAACACCAGCTTGTCACGGTAACACAGAAGGCAACGGTGCTGGCACACAGGGGGAGAACACCTGCCAAGAGGGAAGCTGCCACCTTTTTGGTCTCCAGTGAAATCTGCACAAAGAGAATTCTGTTTGTGAAAAAAAAAAAAACCATCCTAAAAACAAACCTGTGACATAAAGCAGCTTAAGTTTTAATGAAAGCCTGTCTCTCCAAAGTAAATTAAAGAAAAATCCAGAGGTCAAACCAAAATAAATACAGCCCTGTGGTGCTGTACAGGGAACGCTGGCCTCTGTGACTGAGGGCTGAGCACACGCTGCAGAGGTGGAGCTGTAATGATCTCACATGGGGGCCCGAGTTCAGGGACAGATGCTCTGCCATTAGGACCAAAAGACCAACTGAAAGCAAGTTTTTAAAGCTGCTATCTTCTCACTTTGACCTAGATAAATGACCCACTTCTCTGCTTTCCTGCCTTCTGCAAAGAACAGATACTTTCCATACATCCCCTTCCTAGCCCTTCCTCCACCTATCAGCTCCTCCATTCAAGAGGTACCCCTTTTGGGATCTGTTGTATTGATAGACTTTAAACAAGTTGTGGGGAAACCCAGAATCTCAAAGCCAATTTTACATGCTTCAAAACAATACAAATTAAACAAGGTTAGTGTAGGAAGCACAACTTAAGCACATATGCTTTGTTTATAAGGCATCAACATACAGTAATTTAAAACACGTGCAGCATGGATTCTGACTTTTCAGCAGGATTCAGAGCATACGTGCAGACAGAAATAGGTTTACTTGAAAGCCACTATCCAGAAAGAGCAATACTCTATCTAAAAGCAGTGCATTTACTCGGACGCAACCACTGGTATGATCTCTATGTACACATATTCCAAAGGGAGCATATCTATATTTCCTCAAGGGTGTGTCTTAAAGCTACCCAATATTCTGGCTATTTGCATTCATCAGTAGCTGCTTTTTCATTTCCTTCCTCAACACCCCTGCCCATAGCAACTGATTGGCCCAGACCTAGATACAAGTCAGGCTTCTGCAGCAGCAAAGAGCTTCCTAGACACCCCCTGCCCACCACCCAGGCTTCAAAGATCACCCAGAGTGCACTAAAATCACAAAAGGAACATGTTACCAGAAACACCTGTGGGTACCAGCTGCTTCAACAGCGTAACAGCAACACTGCCATCCAGCCCTGGTGAGCTGCTATGGACACACAACAAGAGCGCAGAACAAAAAGGGGGGGCAGAGCAGACCGTTTCCCACCATTTACACATGAATACACGTGCTCAGAGCACACAGGCCCACGGGAAGTTTTCTGCACCCATCCCAACGCTGTCAGGACCAGAAAGAGAGATCTTTGTGGTCAACGCCACTCAAACTTCCTGTTGTTAAAGCCTGAGCTGACGACCAAGTCAAGGAGTGGTATTTAGAAATGTTATGAACGACGTTTTGTATTTGACGTGATTTTATAAGCAACAGTTGCACAATTATATATTTATTCGCCCCTTTTAGGCTTCCATAAAAATTAAGTGTAAAGCAGCCACCACAACGATGTATATTATATCCAGAGGGCTGGCCTGAAAAGAAAGCACGTTGCATCAACCCAGACAGGCAAACAATGTTGGGGGCAGGGGAGAAATCAGCCTTTTTTTTGTTTGAAGCTTCTTTCTTCAGCACTATATATAACAAATGAGGCTTTCTAATGTCAGATTGTAAAGTCCTGTTTTAAATTAAAGTGAAATATATTGTGTGTCCCTGCATGACATAGTGTTTCAACATTGCTAGCTAATTAGTCCTTCTGTTGGACTTCAGTATGTCCTGCTACTACACAGCCAAGCACTCTACCCACTTACCTTGCATCCCCAGTACTCTGGAACCACTCAAAATTAGCAATGAAAACATGCTATCCTCTAAGTAAGCAATATTTATACCAAGATTACATTTGCTCTCTGCTCTGTAATCCACTCACAGCAGCAAAAGCAGCACGAGAAGCTCTGCTCTGTACACACACACACATCGATTTCAGTCTGCCTCCTGTCCAAAATCCGTATCAACTCAGTTTCAAAAGTAGTTTGGAGGTGGTCATAGCAGAGGGGAAATAGGACAAGATTTCGAGGGTGTACCTTCAGCTCCATTCTTGAGATAACAGCATGAGAAATGGCTCTTCCCGACCGCACAGTGCTGCCTTATCACAGTGGCCACACACAGTTCAGAAAGTTTGTGCATAACAGATTGAGCTTAAGAGAAGCACATTTAGAAGTGCCTACACCTGCTGCTTTACTGACAGCTCTGGTAACAAGGCAAGCCTGTGTCTCTCATTCTGCAAACACCACCTTTGGCCTTGACAACGGTGTGGGGATTTTTCCTGCAATAGGCAAAGAGGAAAAATGGCACACGATATTCTCACCTAATCTCTAATCTAAGGAAATTCAACCACTGCAGCAAGAACACAGAACACCTCAAAGTAATGGTAAAGCTTAACCAGGAACCACCACAAGTCTATATGGTGGCATTTTGGAAAGGATGCACAAAACAAGAACAGAGGGCTCAGATCAACAGAAATGCAACTATTAAAAAAAAGTATGTACCAAACAGGGAAACCATGACCTCATGGGCATTGCATTTCTGGCACACGTGTAGGCACACCTACTGTTCTGAAATCCCTTCAGCCATCAAGTTTACCCAGGTTCATTAAGAAGCGTACAAAGATGAGAGCTGAAGACATGAAAGTGTTGAAGGAAGCAGCATTAACAGCAGCTCAGCAGGAGACATGCAGCTTTGCCAGCCCCGAACAAGGTCCCAAGAGCTATTAAGAAAGAATGCGATGCTCGTGCTCAGACCACACAGTGGAGACGTGATGCAAGATAAAGGACAGGGTGGATATTTATCTTCTACATTCCAGCCAGCCCTCCTGAATTAGCCCCCCCTCCCGAGTGACTGGGGCCACTCTGCTAAAGACACCACCAGGACACAATTCCTGAGCAGCTCTTCCAGGTAAGGTTGGAGCAAGCTGAATCCAAGTCGGTGACGTGTCCTATCACAGCAAGTCCAGACCGTGGGCTGGAACATCACTGAAAAACTTCACCTTGTTATAAAAACAATTTATTTTTAAAATTTAAATATGAGAACCCTGGGCAAGTCTCAAGGTAAGTGCATTCTGCCTGAAGTTTCAGTGTTTTCATCAGGGAATGTTCTCAGCTTTCTGTACTCAGCTGACGCAGCCCATTGCATAGCACCCCATGTCACTGATGCGTGAAGCAGTCCCTATCCTGTACCTTTGTTACACAGTTCATTCCAAAAACAACACCACAATGATACAACCATAAGAGACAGCTTTCCTCCTGCTAGTTTGTGAGTCAATATGCTTGGCGTGACTGTATAAAAGAAAAATGAAGTGGAAAATATTTGCAGATAAACAGCTCCAATCTATCACACTGACAAAACTACCTTCCAAACAGATGCAGTCTGCAAGGCAAAAGCCTAGCAATAACTCTGGGTGACACTGGAGGCAAGTGCCAGGCAAAACCT